GTAAATTTTGGCACACCCCTCACGCGCTTCGTGGTTTCATGGGGAGCCCCGCCGAAGTCCCAAATGCCAGCGTTCGCATGCGCCCACCGCACCCATGTTGGCACACCCCTCACACGGGTCGTGGCACCATGGGGAGCCCCACCGAAGGCCCAAATGCCAGCGTTCGCATGCGCCCACCGCGTAAATCTTGGCACACCCCTCACACGTTTCGTGACTCCATCAGGGGGCCCCACCGACGGCCCAAATGCCAGCGTTCGCATGCGTCCACCGAGTAAATTTTGGCACACCCCTTACACGTTTCGTGGTTTCACAGGGAGCCCCGCCGAAGTCCCAAATGTCAGCGTTCGCATGCGCCCACCGACGGCCCAAATGCCAGCGTTCGCATGCGCCCACCATACCCATGATGGCACAGCCTTCACACGCTTCTTGACTTCACATGGAGCCCCGCCGAAGGCCCAAATGCCAGTGTTCGCATGCGGCCACCACACCCATTTTGGCACACCCCTCACACGTTTCGTTGCCGCATAGGGGGCCCAACCGAAGGCCCACACGTCAGCGTTCGCATGCATACACCGCGTAAATTTTGGCACACCCCTCACATGTTTCATGGCCCCATAAGGAGGGCCACCGAATGCAGTGCAGACAACGACGGTGCCCACAATTGCATATGGTTGGGTCCTTCGCCAGGCTAGTTTTCTCCGACAGGTTTCTCATTGGGAAATTTTGTCCTCGGAGGGTTTCCTCGAAGGTTTCTCCAAAGGGTTTGTCCGAGAGGTTTATCCGAAGACTTCTCCGCAGACGCAGCGGATTTTGTAAGTGTCCGCGGCCCCACGCACATGCATCCAGCGTAATGTACGTGGGACTGCAGTCACGGGTTCGCGGATACAGCTCCTTTTATTTGAGGCTGAGCATCGATGATGTTTGCCTCCTGAGGCCATCTTGGGTGTCCTCTTTGGGGCCTCGTGGGGCGTCTCGAGGGTTCGGATGCAACTCCTGGGAGGTCAAATTCTGATTTTGCCATGGTCCGAAGTCCGGCTTAATCTGGCCTAGTCCCTCTCAGTCCCGCTTAATCCGGCTTAATCCTGCTTAATCCGAGGCCCACTCTTGCGCAACAGCCCCCCAAAGGGGCTTAATCCTCCCTAATCCTTCCGACGAAGACCTCCCAGTAGTTGCCTCCTGACATCTTGGGTGTCCCTTGAGGTCTTTGCCGCGTGTCGGAGCCCCTCGGGCACCATCCGAAAGAGGCATTTGGGGCTCCCTCCGGCCACGGAGGGTGGCTTCGGAGGTTGCGAGGGCCCAGAAGAAGCGCCAGGAGCAGGAGGAGGAGGAGGAGGGAGGAGGGAGGAGGGAGGAGGGAGGAGGGAGGAGGGAGGAGGGAGGAGGGAGGAGGGAGGAGGAGGGAGGAGGGAGGAGGAGGAGGAGGAGGAGGAGGAGGAGGAGGAGGAGGAGGAGGAGGAGGAGGAGGAGGAGGAGGAGGAGGAGGAGGAGGAGGAGGAGGAGGAGGAGGAGGAGGAGGAGGAGGAGGAGGAGGAGGAGGAGGGGGGGGAGGGGGGGACTCAAACTATGGATCTATTTAACGGCTCTGGTTGCTTACGTTTTTCAGTACAACAAGGCAGACGTGTGCGATCTGGTTGAGAAGAGAAGTTGTTTCCATATACAACGGCACCAGTAAGAACGTACGCGTTCAAGTTGGGACAAAGCAGTGATACCTACATCGCAGATGCTGGGCGCTTGCGAGCTACCTTTGCGTTTGAGGGCAGCAGGGCCTGGTCTAATGATTCGTTCGCTGTTGCTGCAAGTCTCATGCGGGGCACGACATGAAAAGTGGCCTCTGCTAAGAGAGGCCTCTGCTATGGGGGAGGGGGAGGAGGAGGAGGAGGAGGAGGAGGGGGAGGAGGGGGAGAGGAAGAGGAGGAGGAGGAGGAGGAGGAGGAGGAGGAGGAGGCGGAGGAGGAGGAGAGGAGGAGGAGGAGGCAGGGGGGTGGGCCTGAGGTTGGATTTTTGCCTCCCGAGGCGGGGGAAGTAGACAGGGGGGACAGCCAAATGTTCCACACGTCGTTCCACCCCTGGCAAGGGGGGGGGGGGTCGGCGGACTCGTTTTTTGTTGGATCCCAACAGACCGTTCGTTGAAATTCTAGACGCTACGCGTATCCCCACCAGCCCATCCACAAACGATGCGTAGGGGAGCTGATGGGAGAAAAGAAGAAGAGACGCACATAGTGAAACCGAGCGGTCAACAACGGTGAACTGGGAGATCTTTTGTGGTGAAGGTTGCATGTGTTGCTGCTGGTGCTCTTGCTCCTCTTTTAGATGCTTCTTGGGGCGTCTTGGGGGTATCTTGGCGATCCAGGGGGGCTCTTGGGCGTCTTGCGCGCCTCGGGGGGGGGGGGGGGCCTCTTTGGGCCGCTTGGGTCCTCTTGGGGGCCTCTTGGGGGTCTCCTGGGGCCATTTTGGGGGCCTCTTGGGGCCTCCTGGGCGCCTCTTGGGGCCATCTTGGAGGAGATCGATCAAAGAAGAGGGTGGTGGCAATTCGCGTCCCCCCTCGGGAGCCTCTAAAATCGCCTCTTGGACCCTTCATGGAGCGCTCTTGGAGCGCTCTTGGGCGCTTCGGGGCCGTATTGGGGCTCTCTTGGGCCCTTCTTGGGGCCTCCTTGGCCCCTCTTGGAGCCATCTTGAGGCCTCGGACGGCCATCGGAAGCGAAAAGGCGAGAAGGCAAACATCGTACGTCTTCCTTAGGTTTTTGAAGGCTTCTGGCCTCTTGGAGGCCTCCTTGGGAGGCTATTTGGCCTCTTGGGGCCGTCTTTGGGCGGTTTGGGGGCCTCTTGGAGTATCGGCGGAGCCATCTTGAGACATCTTAGGCTATCTCGAGCCATCTTGGAGCTCATCTTGGGCTCTCCGAAGCGCTCTTGGAGCCCCCTTGGGCCATCTTGGACGCTCTGCCGACCAGCGGCACCCCCCGTCCAGGTCCAGGGGAGGGGGTCGGGGGAGGGGTAAGCCCCTCCCCGAAGGGGAAGAAGGAGGGGTGGAAGAGGAAACTCCCTAAACCACCTACGCCCAGAGGGCTGGTGGGATTCTGTTGGGGTCGTTTTGAAGCCTCCAAGGCCCATCGAAAGACGAAGCGACGAGAGTCATTGAAACCAATAGTTGTTCCATGACTTTGGCCTTTCCACTTTGGGTTTTGCTATATTAAAGCCACCCATGGCCACGCACTTCTGGATGCACCACCTGCCAGCGACTGTTGCAGTCCAGACTCCCAGGATGCGGTAGGGACATGGTTGAGATTTTCCCCCAACCGGAAGACAGGAGTTGTTTTGGAAGAGCTGATCCCGTAAAAAATCTTACGCCGAGAGGGCTGGTGGGACTCGTTCCAGATACCATCGATTACGCTTAAAGTGGGCATGGGCGATGATTTGAGTCGATGTTGCTTCAAGTTTTTGTGCGGAGCCCACCGTGCAGCTTGAGCCAGAGCTCCGGAGCCACGCGCCCATGAGGCCCGGCCCTCGTGATGTGCATCTGTCGTGCGGTTTCCGTGGGCGTTCGAGTTCCGAGGCGACGTGCCCACAGAGCTCGTCGTGCCCACGGGCACCGCAGCGCGCACAGGCGCTGTGGCAGTCGTGAGCTGGGGCTCACGGGCTGGTCATGCTCGGTGGCACCATGGCCGCAAACATGACCACTCTGGCGTTCACGTCGGGGGCGGAAAAGAGGGGGGTGATGACTAGGGGGGGGGATATCACGGCTGGGGGCATGATATTTCCTCAGACTTCATGGCGCCTCCTCTAATTTCATTACGTCCCTGGCCCCCCCGCTGGGCCGCGCACATGCCGCCGGTCATGATTTGCACCCCCCCCCTCTTGGACACCCCCCTCTTGGCCGCTCCCGATTACAGGCATTGCGGTATTCGTTTGGATGACCACCCATCGGCCGTTGAACGCATGTGCTTGCAGGGCGCCTTCCTGCTTCCGTCGCCGAGCGGCCCTTGCCTGCCGTGAATCGTACTACCCATCGGCCGAGGGAGTGCTGTATTCATGGGGCGCCTTCTTGCCTCTCGCCTTCCTTAGTTTTTTGACGCCGTCGCCGTTTTTTGACCGGTTCCGGCTCCGGCTCCAGTCCTGGAGCCGTTGTTTTGCCGTTTCCGGTCGCCGTTTTTTTGCCGTTTCCATTTTCAAGGGGCATTTTTTGGAAACGGTGAAAAAACGACCCTACCGTTTCCGGGGCCCACAGAGGGCGGGCGGAGCCCGATCTACTCCCAAGCGCCATCTTGCATCATGCTTCTACCCTTGAGTCGGGCCCGTCCCTCGACAGGAGGAGAGTTCAAAAACAGTCCAACAAAAATAATACGGGGACGAAGTTTTTGAGCATTTTCGCATATTTTTCAAGCATCTTTTGACTATTTTTCATTTGTCCTCCAAAATCCGCCTGTAGGGGGACACGCCCGACCTGAGTCTGTCCGCTTCTTCAGACCGACGGGTACGAATCCCCACCCATGAACGCTGTGGGCGGGATCTCCAGGGAGCACTGGCGCACTTTGGGCATGGCGGCGGCGGTAGGAAGTCTCGCAGACCTAGAGGTTGACACCAACACCAATATCGGCGGTGTGCCTCCACGGAGGGAAGAAGATCCCGATCTCGGTGATGGTGGCAATATTCTGGCTGCCGAGGTGACCGACATATTTCCACCGACGCCGTAATCGAGAATCATCCTTCCCCTGTGGAGGCAACCCCTCCGTGCTGGTGCTGGTGCCCATTTCCAGGCCTCCAGAGGGAGTCGGCCTTTCTCCGTCGAGGGGGCGAAGCGGGATACCCGGGCAGCACCCAGCACACATCTGGGCCTGGCCGTCGCGGTGTGAAGGGTATGCGAGGCGGGCGGGGCGTTGTTTAGGAGGCAGGATGGAGGAGGAGGAGGAGGAGGATGAGGAGGAGGAGGAGGAGGAGGAGGAGGAGGGTTTCCCGCAAAAGCACGACAACCCCAGCCTCCCGGGTGGGGGGCCACGAACAAATAGGTTCCCGAGAACGTCACCACGACCACGCCGACGACCTCTACAACCTCTACGACGTCTGCGACGTCTTCGACGTCCACGAACACTACCTCGACGACGTCTGCGACGTCTTCGACGTCTTCTACGACGTCTGCGACGACGACTACGACGACTACGACGCAGACGTCCGCGACGGCGCAGGCGACCACGAGCACGGCCACGGCCACAGCGACGGAGGCGGCCACGAGCACGGCTACGTCCACGGGCAACTCCCTGGACCAGGCGGGGCGCTCCAGAACGGGCCTCGCCTTCGAGGATCGGAGGAGCTGAATTCTCTTCCTCGGCGGAAGGCAGGCGGACCGCGGCGGAAGCAAAGAGAGGGCGTCTCCGCAGACGGAAGCTCGGCGGAGGGCGGCGGAAGCAAAACCAGCCCCCCCTCGCCAGATGGCAACGCGTTCTGGTCCAGGAATTCCGAAACTGACCGGGTGGCATTCGATGGCAAAACATGGGAGCCTGGTATACCCTCTTAATTCCGTCTTTAGCGTCGATTAGCGTCTGGAGTCGATGAGGTAGTGCCAGTTTTAACGCCGGTTTAGCGTCGATTAGCGTCGATTTAGCGTCGAGTGGCGTCGATTGAGCGTCGAAGAGCGCCGATTCGCAAGAGCCGACACGATGGTATGGAGGCTCCCATGCTTTGCCACCGCAGGTGGCGTACACGCCAGAGGACGTCGCGAAGGCGGAGGACACGGCCGTCCTCCAGGCCATCGCGTCGAACCAGTCGAGCATCACCGTCGTGGTCGGCGGCCTGGAGGTCACCGTCACCAAGGCGAGCGTGAGTGACGCCGTCGACGGCTTCCTCTCCCTGCCAGGCGTGAGCGCCGCGACGGGCGTGGACGTCAGCCTGCCCACCTCGCTGTTCGCCGCCCTCGGGGTGGAGAGCGCGCTGGTCGTGGCCGCCGGCATACCCGCCTCGGCCGTGCCCGCGGGCTCCGCTGGCACCGCGGTGGAGGGCGCGATCAGCATCTCTCTGAAGTCGGACACCGACGGCTCGACGCTCTCGGTGGCGGGCCTCGCCGACCCAGTTCTCATCGACCTGCCAAACATCAGCGACGGCCTCGCGTGCGGCTATTTCGACGAGGACGCCATGGAGTGGACATCCGAGGGGATCACCACGGTGGTCGGTGCGGGCGGCACGCTTCGGTGCGCAACCACGCACCTCACCATCTTCGGGGCCATACTGAAGGGCTTCCTCACCTCGCTCGAGTGCAGCCAGGCCAGTCTGCTGTCGGCGGAGGCCTACGAGGAGCTGTGGGCAGGGGACTGGTCGGAGTCCCTGGGTTCGGCGCTGTTGTACACGGGGGTATTCCTGTACGTGGCCATGCTGCTGACGGCGCACGCGTTCGACGTCAGGGACGAAAGAGCGGGCCACTGGGGAACGAAGGAGTTCCTTATTCCCGAGTTCGTGGAAGATGAGCTCCTCGATTGCGAACCCATGACCCCCGTCGTCAGTGACAACAACATGGTGCCGGCATCGCCGCCCGAGGCCTCGCCCAGTGCCGAGCAGGAGCAGAAGAGATCGGGAGTATCGCGCAAGCTGACGAACGGCAGTGCCCGCGCCGTGGTGGTCGCCAAGGGTGGCGCGCGCAAGGTCTCGGGGGCCCCCAAACGGTGTTTGGACATACAATGTGGTGGGTTAGCAGGCTCTGTTTCCCGCACGGGTATGGGGACTCGGGTCGTTCTGAGGGATGCTCGGGCGACCAGGGCCTCCGAGGTTCCAAGGCTATGCGGTGAACAATAACAAAAATGGCATAGAGATATGTCTCGCAGCTCCGCACGGATTTCTTGGATCGGAGCCTGGGTCCACCTGGCGGCGCCTCCGGCGCCGCCCCTGGCGCGCTCCGCGTGACGGTGACGGGTCCAGCGCCGATCCAAGAAATCTCCGCGGAGCTTCAATACATGATGCTTATGCCGTTGTCTATTCCTCTCAGGTTACCAAGGGTGCGCGCAAAGTCAGGGAGGGCGGGCGCGAAGCGTCCGCCGAGGGCGCGAAGGAGTCCTGCGAGGGGATGCTGCAGGGTGCGATCGTGGAGATCTTCAGCGCCGTCACCAACTGCGCCGGGGGCGTCACGTCGGCGGTGGAGGCGCTCGTGGCCTTTGCGTGGGAGTTCCTTCGGGGGAACGTCACCTTGGCCGACGTCCGCAAGATGCTAGCCGCCAGGAACGCGAGGCACCAGGTGTGCGCGTCCCTGCTCATGCACAGCGACGACCTGGACTTCCTGCTGAGCCCAGAGGTCGAGCGGGAGCTGGAGGTGCCCGCGCCGGGCGCGCTGGACGACGACGGGGCCCCGCTGCGCACCCTCGCCGGCACGGCCGCGGAGGCTGGCGACGGGCCAGCCAAGCGGCGTCACGACTTGCTGCTGGGGATGGTCACCAGGGTGCGGGCGCACATGGAGGTCGCGCTGCAGCGGCGCCGCTCGTCGTGCCACACGGCCCGCATGGCGGCGCTGTCCTTCTGCATTCACTGCCCCGTCGGGGCGGTGTTCGTGCCGAGCATGGTCATGAGGAGGTCCATGAGGGCGCTGCTGCTCGGCTGCGAGTTGCTGGGGGCCGTGATGATCGCCACGCTCTTCTTCACGACCACTGGTGGGGCCCTGGCGAAGAGCTCCCCGCCGGAGTGCAGCTCGGAGTGCGAGGATGACAACTGCACGTGGCAGGCCTTGGGGCAGCTGATCGCCATCGGAGTGGTATCCATGTTTCTGGCGAGCATCCCGCTGGCTATCATACAGCTGCCCCACCAGCGCCGCTTCGTGCAGGTGCCCACGGAGGGAGGCCAGGCTTGGAAACGGCAGCTGAAGCGCTGGAGAAGGCGGGACGCTTTCGTCTACGTGGTGGGCGCGCTGTACAGCTTGTTCGCCTTAAATTACATAACCCTCTTCTTCGCGAATGTCACCGCGGAGGACCAGATAGACCTGATAAGCTCCTCCGGCGTGTCCTTCATGCAGGACCTCGTCCTCGGCCCGGTAGCGTGGTCCCTCGTGGTCCCTGGCCTGGCGCTGTGCTTGTGAGGCAGGCGAGCGGCGCGGTGCAGAGCCGTCGCGCGGGCAGCCCGCGTGCTTTTCTGATGCGCGGCGCCCTCAGACCATCTGCCCGCCGAAGGGCTCCGGGCTTCCCCGCGGACCTCGCTGCGGGCACACCCCCGCCCTGCCACACGTGCGGGCGGGTTTCATAGTCCCTCTTCTCTGTTTCTCTCCTGGGTGGCGGCCCTGCAGCCGGGGGAGGAAGAGGATGATGAGGAGGAGGAGGCGGAGGAGGAGGAGGAGGAGGAGGAGGAGGAGCAGGAGGATGAGGAGGATGAGGAGGAGGAGGAGGAGGAGGAGGAGAGGAGGAGGAGGAGGAGGAGGCGGAACAGAGAGGAGGGAGGAGGGAGGAAGGACTGACAAGACATACCACGACGGCAGAAGTCCCCGTGCCCGCCGAAGGGTTCAGGGCTTCCCCACGGACCTCGCGGCGTGCACACCCTGCCCTGCCACACGTGCGGGCAGGAGTGCTGGCCCTGCTCCTCTGTTTTTCTCCTCGGGGGTCGCCCTGCAGCCAGAGGAGGAGGAGGAGGAGGAGGAGGAGGAGGAGGAGGAGGAGGAGGGGGCCAGGCGGAGGAGAGAGGAGAGAGGAGTAGGGAGGGGGAGGGGGATGGAGG